TGCCGTTTCGCTTTCCTTCGATTATATGCGAGAATGTTATGATTTGGAATATGAAAGGTTGCAAATAGAGTTGTTAATTTTAAGAGATATTAATAATAATGTAGTGATGGAAAATTAAGAAATAAGCTCTTAGTAAAATCATATATCCTTATTCATAATTGACTTTGGTGATGAAGTTCTAAAATTTCTTTTTCATAAAATATTTTGCATGAGCTATAGCTTTGTATATTTATTTATAAGATAAATAGTTGATTGATGATTACATTACATTGCTAATGATGAACATGTATATGTAGATCATTTTGGTCTGTTAGTTGAAAACTTTGAGTACCAACTAAGGGGTCAAGTTTTGAGCATGTGATGTGTGTGTGAATGTAACTATAATAATGTAAATGTACAAAAAAAATCATGTCAATGGTCTAATTATTATCAATTTATAGCACAATCATCGTAAAAAATATAGTCATACTTTTATTTATTGTTGTAGTAGTTGTTATATCAACTCAATATTATTAACTTGTAAAGAAGAATAATAGTCATATTGCAATCAATCGACAAACATAAATAGGGATAACACAATCAATCCCACAGCGCAATTAATGCCATAACAATAACGATAAAACTATTGCTAATGCATGAAAATCCAAAGTACATTGATATAGCTAACCACCTGTTATTTATTGTTGTGTGTCATTGGATCAGATCACATCTGAATTAGTATCTTCTTCAAGTGCGTGTTTTAATAATTTTTGATCTCATTATCAGTCCTGCCTGAAAGATGAGTTGCTATAGCTAACCACCTGGAAAGAAATGAAGAGAATGTTTCATTAATCTGAGAATAAGTTTCTGCTATGTAGCTATATGTTACCATTTCACCATGGGCCCATTTAGTTGGTAGAAGTTAGAAATCATTGTCATTGTTATTTACTTTATCCCAACTCTTTGAAGTCGAGTTTATAAATTCTTGTTTTACACTTTTGCCGTGAGTGTATCTTAAGTTTTAAACTTATTATTTACATAGATTTTTTAAAAAAATTGTATTGATATTGTATTGGTTGTATATTTTTTTTCTTCCTAAGCCTTTAACACTAACTTTATTCATACATCTATGAGCTATATTTTCTACATTTCAATTTATGTCCATGTCTATACCACCTAAGCTTATTTTTAATCACCTAATCTCTAACGATGCTACTTCAACAATTTCTATAATATATTTATTTATTCTTTTTAATTTCATTATATATCTACCTTAACATTCTCATTTCTATACGCACAACTTAGATATCAATAGTCTTTTAATTGCTAAATGCTTAGATCTATAAAGCATAATCAATCTAATCATTATTTTATTAAATTTATCATTTAATCCTCCATAATATCCTTTAACTATGTAACACTCTTGAGACGCTTCTCTATTTTAATTACTCAATCTTAATTCTAGATATTTTACCCACTTATTTTTGCATTCTTCCACACATCTTAATAGTTCTCATAAACTTGATCATATCACGCATCCTTTCACTTAAAAGGTAATTTAAAAAAAAAACATACTTTAAAATTTGACAAATTTAATAGGTTATGCAATTTAGTAGATGCAGTTAGAAATCATTGTTGCTTTTCAACCACACAAACACCTCAAAATCCCTAACATGTAATGATTTACATTTTACATAGAAAATGAATAAAAAAAGAAATCATCTTAACCTATAGCTACAAATAATAAAAGAAATGCTATGCCTGGAAAAGATTACTTGTTGCCGAGGATAGAGTGGAGGTTGAGGATGGTTTGTACATCTTCAGATGAAAACTTGCCCCTCTTGATATATGGCCTCAAGTAATTGGTCCATCTTAACCTATAGCTCTTCCCACACCTATTAAATCCAATAAGTGAGCAATAACATGCTTTCTTTACCAATGCTCATATTCATAAAAAAATTATTGATACTGTAAAGAGAAAAGGAGGAAGAAAACAATACCAGTAAGCTGCTGATGATGCTATTGCTGTTGTCCGTCTTTGCTGAGGTACTTGGAGTAGGTTCGTGGTATTGTCTCTTGCACTTTCTTTTTTTGGTTTTTTTATAGTAATAGATAGGATTTCATGCTCAATAGGTTTTACTTCAAATGTTATATTTTTAGAGAGTTGGTCTTTTAAGGATTTGAACCTCTTCTTTTTAATGTAACGCGTAGACCCCTCTGTGGGTTTTAACTATATAAAAAAAAGTTTGAGTTCCATGGTTCTAGTGTGAGTTCTGTGGGTTTTAACTATAAAAAAAAAGTTTGAGTTGCAAGGTACTAGTGTCGAGTTATATTATTGTAAAATTTGAAGTAAAAATTTTTATGGTACGTGCACTTTGAACAATGATGGATCTTTCTTTATATGGAATATACATGTTTCGGAGGAGTGTCAATACGGGTCAATAGATCAAGTTTGAGTCCGACTCGAAATTGACCAGACTTGAATCTAACTTGTTTAATAAATGGGTCAAAAAGGTGGGACCCAAACCAGGCCTACTAGAAATTTTAACCCAGCCTGATAACCCATTTAAATTAAAAATTTTATTTTTATTAACTTGTTAGCTATAAATTTTGGGTTAATTAATGAAAAATAAAAAGATTGTACAAACAAATAAAAGAATTTAAGAAAAAAATATTACACTAGTCATTTTTGAATCAAAATATTAAATATGGATGATAGGTCAACTTGAACCTAACACATTTAATAACAGATCGGAATGAATGACCCAATTCCTACATGTTCATTAAATGAGATAATTCATCATATTTTAAAAAATAAATAGCTTAATTAAAGTATACAAGATGCTATTTCAATAGCTAGGCACCACATATGGAATAAGGTGGACTGATCAAATACTAATTAATTTATAATCTTTTTTAAGCATTTATGATTGATTTTTTTCATCCCTACACCTCCTTAACATCACTTTTATATGGCATGAATTTTAGAGCTTGTGCATCAATGGTTCCCTAACAATAACACATCTACACAATATGTTTAATTATGCTAGGTCAAACCCCGTCAGGGCGTACTGCCCCCTTAGACCCCCGACACATCTCCGAAGCGTACGACGATCAAGGATATAATGAAGACGTTGCAAGGCCTTAGTCCCTTTTGGTAGTTAAAAGATATTTTTAGCAACCATTTTCTTTTTGTCTCTATTTTTTGTCGTTATTGACCCATTTTATTGTAATAAGGTGTCGAGTCAAATTTGAATCAACACCGACAATTACTTATAAGTTTGCCCCCCATGAAAATTAAGCTGATTACACACTTGTAGACCATACAAATAACTTGTTCATATATTATGTGATATGTAAGCACTATTTTGTCTTTTTGATCAAGGCTTTTAGGCAAATACTGCTTGATTGTATAGCATTCTCATTTTGAAATTTGCTCTCAAAAAATAGAATAGTAAATTTCAATTGTAATATTTGCCTCTATTATAATGAGAAGTAGACTAGTTGGACTATTTGAAGATTAAATGATCATTAGCATTGTAATTATGCTATTTAGTCATAGATATTTTAATTAGTTCACATTTATAAATAATTTGATATTATATTAAAAATTTTATTGTTCTGTTTGTATATTAATTAGGATAATTAGTCAGTCAATTAAACTAATTAGATGAATTCAACAGGTAATAATAAGGATAATAAACTAATAGAATTGTTCAAGCTATCTGAATAATTAATTATAAGCATAATAATGTATTCTAAGTCATTTTATATTAGCAAAAAAATTAATATATAACAAGACAGTTTTTACTTATTTAATTAAAAAATATATTAGACTAAATAACTATTTAATTTAATCATTACTGAATGATTATGGTACAAACTGCCAAATTAATTTAAAAAATGATAAATAGATAAAAATAATTTAGCAAACTTGATAAATATATCAAGATGAGCTAGAAAATAATTAAATTTACTTGAAATTAATGGAATACAAAGTCTTCATATGTAGCACAAATCTCAAAATATTTAATGATTTTAAAGCCAATTCTAATATAAATTGTATTAGAAAATTACAATAAAAATAAGGTCCAATCACAATAAAAAAAAGCCAGCACAATACAGAGCTATTTAATCTGATTAAATGAAGTGACAAGAACTGAAATGATAAATGAAAAAATATGTTTTAAGAAAGTAGAAATTATTCTGTGCGGACTCCGAACACAGATGACCGTTTATATTTAATGAATATTTATTGAGTATTTATTGAATTTTCCTGGTTTACTGTGTATTTGCTGCATATTTGTTAAATATTTACTGTGTATTTAAAAATACTCAATAAATACTCAACAAATACGAACCAATCCAAACCATCTGCGTTAGGAGTCCGCACAGAATAATTTCCCTTAAGAAAGAGACAAACAGTGATATCCATCATAGCTTCCTCAATCGCAGGCCAGCACACCATAATTACGGAGGCAAAGAAAGCAGAAAGAGATCATTTGTGTAGATTGTTCAATACTAATCTAAAGCAAATTGTGACAAAGAAGAATCATCTATCTTGCTCTCAAAGCTCTGCAACATTAAGAAGGTGGATCAGCTACAGGTTTCTTTGATAATCTACCCCATAACATGATCTCTCCAAAAATGCAACCTAATAAGATGATCGTGAGGTTAAAGCCATATCCAACCTTCCAGGGAGTTCCTGCTTCACCAACTTTGATGCCAAGAATAATATTGATTGCTGAAAAGAAGAGTAAAAGTCTCCCAACCCAATGGTGGTACCAATTCCAGTATCTGCGGATCTTCGAGTCTTTGTCAGGGCGAACAAAAAATGCAAGAATTTGTGTGGTAGGTGATCAATTTTAATTAGTCGAATATAAGAATGTAAACAAATTATATAAACTTAAGGTTCTGTTTGGAACAGCTTTTTTACTAGTTCTTAAAGCCGCTTTCTAGCAGCAAAAAAGCCATCCCAAACAAAGCCTAAGTCTATGAAAAGTTATTTGTAATATATGATGATCTGGCTAGAGAGCATAAATGGCAATTTAGGCGTTATTGTATCTCTCTGAGATAAGATACAAGAAAAAGGATGAAATAGAGAGTATCTAAATAGTTTGAAGTGAAATGTCAGGAATTGTAAGAGAAAGCCGTTTAAACAGACCTGAAGGATACCGAGTACAAGGAGAAAGATGCCGATTCCTCGGTGAACTCTGACATCTGCATGTATTTTGTTGTACAGTGAAATTCCAGTAACCACAGCAGCAAGCCCAAAGAGAAATCCAGCAAACTGAAATGCTAAATGAAGTTCAAACCATAGGAGATCCCACTCTTTGCAATATCTTGCAATTATTGCGCCAATAGGTAGCAGTACACCCCAGCCAAATATAGCTATGCACCATGATTCCTTTTCAGTTTGTAGGGATATGAGGAGCCAGATGAAGATCCTGTAGCATCGATATACATATTTTTAAGAGACTAGAAAAGCATTTGCAAAATGAAACAGGTCACAAAATAGGCTGGTTTGCATACCAATTATGAGCAAGTTTTTCTATATAATTTATTAAATCATATCATAATTTTAATATATGTAGGAAGACTAATGTGATTGGAAGATACATTTAGTCAAGGATCTACAAAAGAAAACATTCCCAACCATTAGATACTAATTTGTAGGGAGAGTAAAAGAAGCGGATCATGTAGAGTTGGCTCCCATGGCGGTGTAATTATTACACCAAATTGATAAACTTCAACTAATGTGCCACCACATAGGAATAAGCATCTGCAACAAATGGGGAGAAGCCAGTTATTTGTCTTGTTTATAGATCTTTAGAGTTGAATGCCAGTTATGCATGCCAAGCATCAGTGCATACTTAAGATTTTCTTTGATGGTACTCAGCAATACTTGCCTCCACCACAAGCTCTAGCAGCACATACGCACAAAGATGTAGAAAATTGGGTTGAGAGAAAGATAGTGGTGACGAGGGATAGGAGATTGCGTAGTATAAAGCTATTTTTTATCAATGACAATATTAGATATGTTGGCAATAGTAGTACCTTTTCTTCTAGTGACTTTATATTTGTGGACAGATCATTATTGGTTTAATTAGTTAACAAGCCGAATACAAATATAAATTTTTAACTCATTTCCTTAATGAGCCAAACCAAACAGTGATGAAACACGTTTAAATTCAGCTCATTTCTAGCTATAGATATTTCCCAACTATTTCTCTTTTACAAAGCTATCTTGGAAATGCGTTCCCTATCAAAAAACCACTATATAGGGTCCAATAGCCTCCATGTGGCTTTTCTTTGAGAAAAGAATTGGATTCTGGCAAGCTTCCCACCTCACAACGGAGAGATTATTAAGTGCAGAGACTGAACACAGATAACCGTCCAATTTTGTCTTTGTGAACAGTAAAAACACAATGATGAACTCACAATTACTATTCATAACTATACTTTTACTGTTCATCGCAGCGCTTTTAATGTTCATAGAGACAAAACCTAACAGTTCTCTGTTTCCGATCTCCGCACATAATAATCTCTTCTCACAAAGAGATGCATCCTTCGGAGAAAAAGTAGTCAGAGATAATCATAATGCCCTCTCTTTTTAATTTAATAATATTCTTTTTTATCCATTTAAAGGATCAGAGTACCACATATTGTTTCATAATATATAATATGCTTCATTGATGATTATTTTGATCGTATAACTAGCTCTGTGGTCGTCCACATAAGGTCAGTTGACACACCCTGTAACATTATACAATTTATATATATTTTATGTACTGTATTAGTCGATATGAGACCAGGAATTAACAACATCACATGATACCTGACACAATTTTAATTTAAACTTTACATGAAACACAACATTTTTAATTTTTAAAAACTTCAACTATTTATTTACAATTTAATTATCATATTATATATATCACTCTTAAATTTGAATTTAATTTTAATCATATTGAATTTTATGATATATATATATATAACCCTTAAATTTGAATTTAATTTTAATCATATTGAATTTTCTGATAATTAAATAGTAAATATGATGAGGACATCGAAGATCAACTACTACGATCTCGAGTTATTTATTTATATGTTTTTTGTACTAGTTTATTTTATATTATTATTTTTCCCGTTATACCCTTATGGGTAGTCTTGTAGTGTTGTAGCCCGAATGACATTTTAGTCTTTTATTTGTTTTCTTGTCATGAAGTCTATTTATAGGCTAGTTGTTTTGTATTTAGGATGATGAATTTTGAATGAAAATTTTATGTTGTCTTCTTCTTCTTGTGTTTGCATTAGAGAGAAGAGAGAGCTCGAGGTAAGGGAAGCACAGTACCCACCAGTCATTGGAAGAGTCCATGACTCGTTGCCTATCTCTTTCACCCCGTACTTTCTTTCCTCCTCCACCCGCCGATCCTAACTCCCTCCACAGCCGCCGGCCACATATCATTCCCACCTAACCCCTCGTCTACCATCATACCACCCTCAAATCCTTGTTACCACGCCCTCACCCAATCCACCCGCCGGCCAAGAGCTCATTGCCACCGGCCAAGTCCCTCTCTCCAAGCTCCACCGCCGGCCATCCATTAAAATCATCCCATTATGATGATTTCAATCATTATAACTCCATTCCAAAATTAGCTCCAAGAGAAAGGAAAGAATTTATCACAATTTGAAATTTGAAATTCAAATTTCAAAAACTTTCCTTATTTGACAATCTTAATTAGGAAAGTACTTAAATCCAAATCGTTTAAAATTCAAATTCAAAAGGATTTCATAATAAAGTTTCCTAAATCCTAAGTGCTGATTTAGAAACTCACAATTTGCTCCCACACTCTCCCCCTCTCTCTATATGCCGCCGGCCATGCTAGGGTGGAAGCCCCATTAATGCTAATTTAATGCATTAATTGCAATTGATTTGGATTTTAAATTTTCATAACCCCTCCTCCCTCTCTCTCTAAGCTGCCGGCCACCCTTGATGGGCTCCCATTAATTGCCCATAACTCCCCTTGACCTCATTTGAAATTTGAACTTAATTTCAAATCGGATTTCCCTCCAAATTCACTTAAAACCTGAAATTAATTTCAGGTTTGGATTAAAAACTCTATTCCTCTCTTGGTCTAAACCTAACTCTTCTCCCTTTAGCCGACCCCTCCCCTCTTTCCCTTCTCCTCTTTGGCTGCCCCTCTCCTTGCTCCCCTTAGGAAGTTTGAGGCCAAGAGAAGAGAAAGACGACACCTTCCCTACTCTTCAAGGATGCATGGCCGATCCTGAGGTTGACCACGGATTCATATTCGACGATCAAGGGAGGACAGATATACTCGGATCGTCGTTCTTTGACGTCACCTTCGGCAACGACGAAACGATTGAAGACTACATCGACCGCATCTTGTTCCAACTGACGTTATCAATTGAAGAGCATCTTCCACAAGGACGTTGGGTCATCGTCGGTCATCCGCCACCTCCACCAACTACGGCTATTTTCCCGTGAACAAAGGCCTTCGGCACTTTCTTCCTCATGGTGATCTTGATTCTAGCATGGAAGATCTTCTCTCGCCAAAGCCTAGTGTAGCCGAGTGATCGATCCCAGAGATGAAAACTCTCATTATTAAATCGTGGATTGTTGATTAAGAGCTCTTAGTATTGCTACTATTTTTGTTTATCTACGAGATCTGGTTAATCTGCATATACTCCTTCGCCTAAGCAAGTGGAAAACCAAGATTCTTTAATGAATTTGCTTGTTATTACAATAAGTTATTGATTTGGATTACATTGCCAATTACTCTTAAAATTTTTAATGAGCTACTGTGCATTTGGTTTCACATCAAAATAGTAAACAAATAGTTGTAGTTTTTAAAAATTAGATTTAGTGCTATAAAAATTAGACTTAACACCATCACATGATACCTGCAACATTAATGTCTAAATCACATCAAAATTGTACATGAAAAAGAATATTTTGCTTTAAATAAATTAAATTTGATTTAGTACTATAAAAGTAAATGTAAAAATTTAAATGTTAGATATAAAAACATATGAGAATTTTATGATATGTAAGTAATCACCTAAAAAACAGTCTCATAATCAATTATTTAGTGGCAAAACTTGACATATTGTATTTGAGGAAAGGGACAAACCTGCTGAGAAGTCGAAGGTAATGGAGACTTTATCATCATGCTTTGTGAGGTGGAAACCATTAGGAGTTTCAATTGAAAAGGCAAAGAGGAGCTTCTTCTCAGCAACAGGAGCTAAAAATTTCAACTGAAACGCCAAATATATGCTTGAACCGTAAAGAAGAACACAGGCTTAACACCACTTCGCAGCAAACGGCCCTCATTTACAATAACCTGAGAACTGGACTGGCCGCGCAGGTAGAACTGTCTGATATGTGCTTTGCCTGCTCTTCCAATCCATCCAACCATCGCACTTGAGCCAACCATCAATCCATCATTCGAAAATCCCATACCAACCCAGCCAGAGGTGTAGGGAGCAGAGAGCACAATACTCAAAATGTTACCTGGACTCTGGGAATACTGCATCGTTTGTTGCTTGGAATTAGGAAGTAAATTACATCAAATTTTATTAAAATCTATAAATTTTGTTACAGATAAGAATCCTATGGGGGTGTTTGGTATCGTATTTGTTTGTCGTTTTTAGTAGGATTTAGCGTAAATCCAGCCAAATGCAATCCGAGCCGCTATAAATCCGGAAAATCCGTAAATCCTAGATTTACGGATTTCCCATTTACGGATTTCCGTCACCTAATCACATTTCTATTTGGATTTAACGCGACTTACAGTTACGGAACTTTTTCACGCGGCGCCCCCTCTGTAATCTGCTGCCAAACAATTTTTCTGGATTTAATAGGACTTAAAATGTGTCATACCAAACACTTTTCAGGATTTATAAGCCTAAGATTTACTAAATCCGGATTTACAGGATTTAGTAAATCCTACTAAAATTGAATCCAATCCTATACCAAACACCCCCTATATGTTTAAATCATTAGTATCAAACATACAATTAGCTAAATTTGATTAAAGCTTCAAACATTTACAGCCCTAGCTAAATTAGTATCAAACATACAATTGTAAAGGATTTGGAGCTCGCTATTGCCTTAGTTGCTCTCATGCAAGGCCTATGAATGGACCTTTCAGGTAGGCGCTCAACCTATAGATACTAGAGACTTTGAGCATTTGTCAATAGTCAAATAAATGCTAAACAATATAATATGTACATTGTCACCTCTATTGTGGCAAGAAGGAAGGAATGAAGCCATCTTGAAGGAAAATTGTAATAATTTTGGAGTGTCTCCTCTATTTTAGAAAGGAGGAACGAGTGAAGCCATCTCATAGGAAAATTTTGATAATTTCATAGAGATCAAAGAAGTTTCCCAAGGAATCAGGGGGCTAAAAGAAAGGTTTTATCATGATCAAAGAAGATTGACTTAGCATCAAAGAACTAATCCTTTTGATGAGTGAATTTTTAATGAAGAATAACATGATGATTGTTGTGGTGAGAGGTTGTGTCATAGCCTCAAGTTTAATTTCACTAAAATTCCTGAAAATTGATTGAGGAATCACTGTGGCAATAAGCCTACTAGGAAATGCAGTGCCATGCTCTTGGGTTTATTGGAATTTAAGAGCACAGTAGTTATCAAAACTCATTTTACCAAAACCGTACGTAATACATCCCATCCACATTTGTTCTTTGCCTTGCATGAGAGAAAAGGAAATAAAGGAAGAGAAATGAGGAGAGAGACGAGAGAAAACGGGGTTTGGGCTGTCATTTTTAATTGCTCTAATTACAAAAAGTGCTCTGATCGTGATAGGTAATATTACTCTACTTCTATTTTTAATATTTCGAGTTTTGTCTAATTTCTCTCTCCTAAAATTGATAAAAATACAATATTTCTCATTTTATTGAATTTTTACCTTATTACTTTTAGTATGTTGTAAATATTATCACCCTGAATGTTTTGATTAATTTTGCATGTTTATTATTTATTTGAAATGGATAGAATAATATCAGGTACAAAATGATTAGGAGTTAGTATATTACATATATACATAATACATATAATATGTATTAGTTTACTAATCACCTAGTCAAACATGTATTTTCACATAATACATGCATACTGACTCACACACCAGATAGATCTACATGTCAGTATCATTGTATATGTTTACATGACATCTCTTATTACATAATGTGATATGTGCGTAAAAATAAGAAAAGATGGCTAGAATTGATTAATTGATTTATATTAGTTGGAGACATATTACCATCTATAAGAGGGCGAGCCGGCACACTTTCCTTTAAATAAAGTTTATGGTGTAAGGAGACTTGTTGATATGATATGATACATTGATGGGTAGGGAGTGATGACTTCTTATATGAAAGTCACATAACATATGATATCTAATATGAGACTGATTCCTGGCAACATAATTGATCTGATTGATATTGATTTAGTTTGGTATGAAGGGTCTACATGACTTGATATAAGAAAAATATCTCAGATAGTCAAATGTCATGTCTTGCTTATATATGCATATGGCATGAGCATACATGATAAATTGCATAAGTCACATGATATAATATGATATGAACATGATACATGATATAACTAATATAAGTATATGATAAGCACTACAAAAATGATATAAGAAAATAAGATACACATGACATGCATGATATACATGATATATTCCATTTATACTTGACATGCATTGATAATGTATGACTTATATATAATAGATGTAACACTTACATGATATGATAGATACACTGATATAAATGACATGACATATAGATAGGAATAAAGTTTAAATTATGAATATTTATAAATTTAAGATAGACATGTTGCATTGTAATTGACATGAATATAAGAATAATAGAACATGTTGATCTTTTATATGGTTGCTTATAATTGACTTCCAAGTTACATTGCTTATATTGATTCTCATTGTTTACATGAATTGATATTATGCATATTGATGGTTACTTTTTTTTTTTCATTTTTTTTTTCATATTTGCTTATTTATAACTTTAAAAACGATTTTCATATCAGGCCTCAACACATATTTTAAGCATTTGTCTTTTTAAATTATAAATTTATTTTCTTTTGATATGTTATCATTTTTTAAATACTTATTAATTTACAAAATTATAGATGGTCACATCAACGCATCAATATGTCAAATCAAAGATAAAATAAAATAAAATTTTTTATTTCAAATGAAAATGTTATATTTGCCATTCAGCTTTTATATGAGACAATTCACAATCGGCGTTTCAATAGATAAAAGAGTTAGAAAAAACTAAAGAGATTGAACAATGACTTCTTAGCAACATTGGCCAACCAATTTCTTACCTGTTCAACCTGATTTTTAAAATCATGCTTTTTAAAGAGACAATATATGAAACTTCGAAAATAATTAAGTATAAGTATGTATAGAAGAGTGGGCAATAAATAGATAATGTAGTTAAACCATCAATATGAAGGCATATATTGATTGGAATATAAAAATTTCTATTATTTTGGGAATCCATAAAAATAATCCCAATATCTAATTGAGTTAGCTAACAAGAGAACATATTTTTATGAACATTGTTGGACACAAGAACATGATGATATATTACTGGTCTTTCACATAGATTAGTTGTCAACAAGCAGGGACATGAGAGGGAAGGATTTCATAGTAGGTTTTGGTTATAAAGAATTTATTAAAATGATAACTCATTTAGTTTTTTTTAGTCCAAAATGGCAGATAGTTACCCTAAATGTGAGTGGAGGCCTAAGAGTGAAATGAATTCAAGAGGGGATCATGACTTAAATTAATGAGAGTTAGTGGTGGAAGCTTTAGTCCAAACATGCATCATAAGCAAGAGGTGGCGACTCGGGTTCGCAAGGGTGAGAGTTGACAAACAGGGATGGAATTGACAGTCATTAGGTGATGCCATAGGATAGGAGAAAGGGAGACACAAAGAACAAGATTGCCATAATGTTGATTCAAAATTATGCTAATTATGTTATTCAAATTTCTAAGGGATTATTGATGAATATTTATCTGTTATAAAATAAGTAAATCTTCAATGAAATCTATGCCAAAAATGTTAACATATAGATAAATTAATTATTGCAAATTCATTAGTATTATAAACCAATAAATTTTTGGTGGCCAATTATATTGATAGCTCTTCCATCAAAAATTTTTGATAGAGTTTTTCTACTAATGTATATATTTAATTGTTCTATGGTTAACTATCAATATATGAATATGAAGAATATGCCAGTAGGCTAGCTTTGAAAATTGGTCCCTTGAAGGGTGATCTCAAGAGTACAAATATAGAAGACCAAATGAAGAATCAAAGCTTCAAGGTAATCTAATTTATTGTGCTCTAAATAGATTTCAATCTAAAATCATTGAGTAGATTTATCATAAATCTCAAGGATAATGAATACATAATTAAAATTAAATTTTAATTATATTTTTTATCATTTTAGATTTCACTATAATATTTTGAGATTTTTTTTATTTATTGTAATTCATTGATACTTATTATTTACATAAATTATAATATTTAATAATCTTATAAAAAATTTTATTTCATCTTAAAGTTGATTACTAATATTATTATAAATTTTATATGAGCTTACGTATCACATTTAAATCATTAAATTTATTAATTACATTGCTTAATTATGTAAATTAATAATAATTACCTTGTATTTTTGTTGACTAAAAAAAGAGAAAAAAAAAAAAGAATTGAAAGAAAAAAAAAGAACTCAAATGAAGAGATGCATCTCTTCGTTAGTTTGATTCAGCCCCACCGCCAGCAACTGCATCGTCAAAATTTGCATCTCTTCGACACAATAACTGCCTTCAACAACTCATTAATAAAAGGAGAAATAAACAAAAAAAAAATAGAGAGGGAGAAGAATGTTTTTTTCCACTATTTGATACATACAACCCAACCATGTACAAAAACTCAGAAATCTCTAAACAACTGTACAAGCTCTCTCAAACTCTCAAATTCCCTGTCCCTTGTACAAATTGATCTCAAACTCTTAAACTCTCCAACAACACAAATTGAAACTCTGTACACACTCAAACTAAACTCTTCAGCAAGTTCTCCAAGGTCCCTCTTGTACAAGTTCTTGCAACTATCTTTGGACTCTATCCTCTATAACTACGAGCCCTGACTACTGCAACCACTAGCTACGAACACCTGCAAACAAACAAATGAAAAGTCTATACATCATAAGTAAATTGAATGAATGCTGATAAATTCAAGCTACTGCAGGTAGAATAGACTACTAGAAAAAACGAAAAGCTAAGTACGAAAAAAAACTAGTAGAGCAAAAGTACAAGCAAACAGGCAGAGCTGTGGACTACTATAGTAGGAAAAAGACTACTAGCACAAAATAACTAAAGCACAAACTAAGTGTCAACTCAACAAACATACAATCAAAATCCCTGGACAGCCTTGTTTATAAGAACTTAATTGTAAGACCCACTACCCGCCAACTTTCGTAGGAAAGAAGTAAGCCCGATCTTAGGGGAAAGTTTTTAGGTAAATTTGACCTAACTCCTAACCTCTAATTAAAATCAGTGGCCACTTCTAATAGAAGTTGTAAGTCCGATTTCTGAGGGAAGTGTTTAGGTGATGACACAAATCTAAACCCCTCACTCGGGCAGCCTAGCCTATAGTGCTTGGTTGTAAGACCCACAATTTGGGCCACTTAGCTTACAAGGCTAGGTCATAAGACCCTTTATTAGGCAACTTCTAAGGAAGTCATAACCCCTACCCAAATCAAATCACACGGGCAACTCCTAATTGGAGCCGTAGCCCCAAACTAAATAAATTAACGGGTAACTCCTAATTGGAGTTGTAAGCCCCAAACTAAATAAATTAATGGACAACTTCTAAGGAAGCCATAAGCCTTGTCCCAAACTGAATCAAATAAAAATTCAAACATGTGGGCACTTAGTCTAAAGGATTAAGTTGTAAGACCCGTTTTTCAGGCAACTTTTTAAGGGAAGCCATACGTCCTACCCAAATAATTGAAAACTTTGGGCATCCTAGCTTATAGGGTTAGGTTGTAAGACCCACCAAAGGGTCACTTTTAAGTGAAGTCGTAAGTCCCATGTGTTAGGAATTCTTTTAAAACAAAGTATAACAATCCTAACGCTCCTACAAATAACCAAGCAACTTCTAAGGAAGCCATTGAATCTTCCAACCAACCTTCTAATTAAAATTTATGGGCATCCTAGTCTATAGGAATAGGTTGTAAGACCCGCTATCGGGCAACTCCTAATTAGAGTCGTAAGCCCCGAATTAAATAAATTAACCTGCAACTCCTAATTGGAGTCATAAGCCCCAAACTAAATAAATTAACGAGCAACTTTTAAGAAAGTTATAAGCCCCAACCCAAATCAAATCAAACTAAAATTCAAACTTATGGGCATCTTAGTCTAAAATGATTAAGTTGTAAACCCACTTTTAATGCTACTTCCTAAGGGAAGTCATAAGTCCTACCCAAATAATTAAAATCTCTGGGCAACCTCACTATAGAGTTAGGTTGTAAGATCAATCATTGGGCTACTCATAAATAGAGTAATTAGCCTCAACTTCAAATTCAAATCTCCCAGTTACTTTCTACGAAAGTCATAAGTCCCAACCTAAACCTAAATTCCTGGGTTACTTCTAACTGAAGTCATAAATCCCAAACTAAATAAATCTCTGGGTATTCTAATAGATTTAAATCCCAAAACACCTAACAAAAATTAAAACCTACATTTAAACGCTTCAGTCTACTCAGGATCCCTGAGAGGATGCAACTCATGGCTGCTAATCAGATTCCCTGGATACTACGGTCAATGATTATTAGTGTTGGTAGACTGAATTCTACGGTATACCCGGGACGACGGAACCATGGGATCTTGATCGAGTTTACATCCATCTTCCCACCATTGAGACTAAATTATCTAAAATATATTCATCTTTAATCGAGAGTTCTCTCTTACGTGTTTAGAGGGATAATTAACTATGAGTACTTGCTCTCATAGGAAGTAAGGACCCCAGATCTTTAAACCCTGACATTACCCTCAGGGGAAATCTGATTAACTACAATCTGACTTAAGAGAAATGGAATCATATAGCTGCAAAGCATGATTCATGCATTCGTACCGTTTTTCTTGAGCCAACAATTTTTTATTTTTAATAGATCTATTTTTTTTTCAACTTGAAATTATAGTTCCGTACTAAGCTATCTATTTTTCCAATAAAAAATAATTAAAAACAAAGTTCCTCTCCCTAACTTATTATCTTGGTTTCTTCTTAAAAAAAAAAAAAAGAAAAAAAAAAACTGTTCATCGACTTTGTTAAGCTTTGACGTTGACTTAGAAGAACGCGGTTGCAGCCCCCTCCGCTATCACTTGCCCTGAAACTATGCTAGAATTGAAGAATTGAATCCCTTTCCAATTTTAGGGTTAATTGCAGAGAAAGTCAATTTCATTAATATTTCAATTTTAGAGTTAATTTAATTAAGATAAGGTTGGTACTCGATGAATTAAGATCAGTTGTCTCTTGCAGCTTATTTTAGACTTTGTTTGCGTTTATTTTTTAGATCGTAATCATAATTTTTATTTGGTCGTTATTTTTTCGCTGCTTTCTATAACAGCTTTTAAAAAAGTTATTTTCTCAACAATAGTTTTGTGTATCTACAAATACACAGTAAATATGCAGCAAATCCGAACGATCCTCTGCGTTCGGAGTCCGTATGGAATAATTTCTTCCTTTATAATGTTGCAGTCATCCCAAATGAATTTTTAACTTAATGATTGAGAGCTAAAGCTTCCAAAAGATTTTAGATTTGAGACTTACTTATACAATGTGCATGAATTTCCGATTTGTTTCTCTCAAGGTTCTACAAAGAAAAAGCTTTGATGTAGATCTAATGAGCTTCCCAAATAAAAAACGAACTAGAATTTGCTTGCCAAGTCCTCCAAGTCAGCAGTCAAAGTCTGCATGTATTCGGCTAATAAAGTTCACAATACACACTCAAATAAATAAATAATTAAAATTTATATTACATAAATGTCAAAATAAATTCAGCTATTAATTTTCTAATAGTCAGCAAGCAAGCAAGCAAGCAACATTCCAGCTTCAAAATTCCAACTTTGCAACTCTCCTTAGCCCACTTGCACATCTAATACTTGACTTTTGCATTGCCAAACTCAGTCCTTCAATATAAATTTTAAACCAACAGTTTTGTAAGTGATTGAACCAATATCTCTCCACAGTTGCAATGGCAAGGCAAAGACCAGAAGAGGAGGAGATTACTGCAGGCTCTGAGCCACCTCCAACAAGTTACTTTGATGCTCCACAGTATTCTCCTCCTCGGCCACCTCCGGCCGCTTCAGCCACCTACATTAATGGCCCTCCGCCGCCAGCCAGAGGCACGCCGGTGAACTTTGCTCCGGTGAGTCCTATGCCGGCATATGATTCCAAGCCACCTGGTTCAAATATTGGGATGCCTTGGTCATCGGGGATGTTTGACTGTGGCCTCAACCAGACTAATGGTAATTCTATTAGAGATTGTACACTTTGTTTTTTATTTTAATTATTTTGATGCTTAGAGGATTCGTTTGGGATGACTTTCTTGTTGTTTCTTAAAGCAGTTTTTTAATATAAAATTTTAAATTTTTTACTAAGAAGTTGTTTTAAGAAGCAACAAAAAACCGACCCAAACGAAGTCTTAATCTAATGAGCTTTAGAGTTGATTTCTGTGAGTATTCTTGTTACAGCTATTATGACTGCTTTCTTCCCCTGCGTTACTTTCGGGCAGATTGCAGAGATTTTGGATGAGGGAGAGACAAGTAAGCCTTGTGTTTTTAATTTTCTCTGCCTTCAATGTCTCTATTATACATACTTGTTTAATTATTATATAAGAATCATCAACCATCTTCTTAGTAGGAGAAATTATTCTGTGCAGAGACCGGAAACAGAACGTCATCCAGAGACCAACCAGAACACGCCACATAAGCGATACTGAGCCAGTACCGAGCCACAATACCGAGCAAGGGGTGACGTGATACATTCTGGTTGGTCTCCGAATAACGTTTGGAGTCCACACAGAATAATTAATTGGAACGATTCTAATTGATCCCCGAATGACGTTGGGCGTCCGCACAGACTAAAATAGTATCACTTGCTCTTTATCAATGAAAACGTTATATGCACACAAGGTGTTTGTGAATAATTCTCTATTGAGATTTTATCGGAATGCTTTTCTTGATTGTTGCTTCATACCAAATCTATAATTCAATCATCATTACCGTTTCATTTGGGATAGCTTTCTTAATGCTTTCAAGACAAAATAACTTATAATATTTTTGTAGGTTGCACACTGGGGAGTTTTATGTACATTCTGATGGTGCCAGCCCTGCTCACCTGCTGGATCATAGGTTCAAACTACAGGAAGAAGATGAGGAAGAAATATAACATAGTGGAGGCGCCATCGGAGGACTGGACAGTCCATCTTTTCTGCTCTTGTTGTGCACTTTGTCAGGAGTACAGGGAGCTGCAGCATAGAGGAATTGATCCCTCTCTAGGTATCAAATCCTGCAACTAATCTTCTTTCTTTCCTCAGCAGTTATGGCTGAAAATAGCTTGTACTCACTGATGGTTTTGTACAGGATGGATGGGTTACCAGGCGCAGAAACAATGGAGGACGAGTACTGTGCCTCCCATGAACCAGTTTATGAGCGAGTAGAAGGAAATTTGGATTTGGATTATAGATTGTGGGGTGTGTTTATTTGTTTTTTTGCAGATTTGTTGTGTGATTTGAAGTGTTGGTCTATGTATAATGTACTCGATTCTTTCTTCAGTTGCACGTAGAAGCATGACTGGTTAGGAGTGTCAAAGTCGGATTTCAGGTCGGGTTCAGATCAAATCCGAATCTAACCCGACCTGTTTAATGTAATAAATTGAGTGATTGTTTCAGTTGTGAGAAAGTTAATGCATATAAGAAACTCAATTTTTTGAAAAGAGTGCGGATACAGATTTCATGATAAGTTGAAAATTGCAGCCTTAGGGTTCGTTTTGGACGACTTTTTTATTGATTTCTAAAACAGAGTTTTAATACAAAATTAAAAAAATTTGTACTAAAACTCCGTTTTAGAAAGCAATAAAAAAATCGTCCCAAACGAAGCCTTAGACTGCTTTATTTTGGGACGATTTTTTTACTATTTTATGAAGTAATATTTTAGAAGGAATTTTTATAGTTTAAAAAAAAATTGTATTAAAAGATTACTTCAAAAAGTATTAAGAAGGCCATCCCAAAATGAAGTCTTAATGATGATACCCTCCCCTTTATTAAGAAAAGTTTGAGACAGCCAAAACTATAATAATTAATTAATTTAGAAAATTTTTAAAGGTATATTTTAAAGTATAAATTTAAAATAACATGATAAAAAATTCATTTAAATTTAAAATAATGTGATATATAAGTATGTTATCTAAATGATATATATATTAAGTAGTGGATTCTTCCCTAATAATAATAATAAGGAAAACGATATGTTGATCCAAACAAAAAAAATCAAGTTTTGTTGGCGACCAAATCCTCAAACTAGAGTCTAACACCAAAGAAGAATGATAAGAAGTGCTTGAAGATTTCAAGTAAACCTTATTCAATCTTTGAAAAAAAAGCTAGAATTTTCCTCCAGACTCCAATAAAAATCAGAGAACAACAATTATATTGCAACTATACGGTTGACCCTCAATTCGAGAGAATGATCTATCTCTCCTAATCCCTAAACATCACTAGAGCCCAATACGCCAAGAATCAAAAACACCAAAACAACCACAAATTATCAGACAACCCTAACCCTAGTTTTAGATTGCGCGGAGAATGATTCATCCACTTCTTTGCATGAATGACTTTGAACATCTTGACGACGTGCATTGACTATTCGACCATGATTTATTGAAGGGAGGGTCGACCCCCACGATATTGGAAATAATTCCTTAAATTGCGTAAGGCTATCGATGATGTGGATATTCACTAGAGTACAAATACAATAAAATATACAAAAAGGGCTATTATGTCAATGCATACTAACATTACAATATAATATCTTTTGAAGGAGGACATACATTTAATCTTGCCAGTGAAATCCAAAATCTCAGAAGATCCACCCCCTTCAACATGAGCTGCATCAGCAAGCCTATAAAAGAACACATAATTGACATGGAGTTATTACATGGTCCAAGTAGGAGCATGAGAACATTACTCTTAGCAATGAAGCATTAATGGCAAAGGACATAGTATTTCTATGGAGTACTTACCCCTATAAGGAATAAAACAAGCTACCATGAATATAATTAAGAGCAAAGCCCTAAATGCAATAGATGGCGAAAGTTGTTATAAACTGAGATATTTATAGCCAAAACTAACATCTTAAACATCATATTGTTTTCCATATAAATATAGCCATTGTAACATGACTCATGAGTGAAATAAGATTCCAAATATAAGCAAAGATAATACAAGCCTGTGAGGTTTTAAGAGGTTTTTTTAGTGTGGTAGTTTATACCTGGGGGGTGATGGCCGACGATGAAAAGAAGAGTTTGGGCCAAGGGGAAGCACAATTTTTTTGGCTCTCTTGAAAGAAAGGGTGAGGTAGGAGTGAAGATTGGCAGGTAGGTTGTCGAAGTGTCGTTGGCAGCATAGGGATTTGATCAGCGGTGGCTTAAGGTGGTGGTGACATCGCTGGCTAGGCAGTGCTAGGAAGGAATTTTTATTAGATCAGGTAACCTGACGTAGCTCTACGTGCGGTAGCCAATAAACAGGCGCCACATGTTCTCACTATTTACCGCGCGGCCCGACAATCCGATCCGGAACAAACCCGGGAGTTTGCATATTGCTCAGTATTGCTAGGTATTGGTCGATTTTGCTCGACAAAAACAAAAATATCATTCTGTGAAGACCAATACCTAGCAATACCCAGCAATACCAAGCAATACCGAGTTCTTTTAGGTATTACTTGGTATTGATCTTCACAGAGCGGTATTTCTCATTATTGTCAAGCAATACCGAGCAAATACCGCACAATAAGCGAACATAGTAATCCTGAATTCTGGTCCGAGTCGGGTCGTCGGGCCGCGCGGTAAAGAGTAAGAGCACGTGGCGACATATTATTGGGTACTGGACATAGAGCTACATCAGGTTACCTGACCTAATAAAAATTCGCTAGGAAGAAAGTGTTGCACCATTATTAAGGTGCGTCAGATAAGAGAAGGGGGTGATACGCCCACAACTTGGGCTGCGTGAAAGAGATGCAATAATGAGGTTGAGAGTGACTGAGGTGGTTGGAGACTATAATGCACCGACACGGACATGACACGACACGACACGGGACACAGCATTTTTTAAAAATATAAGACACGGGTGCGGCGTGGACATGACATAATAATTTTTAATATAATATATAAAAATTAAGATGACATTATATTAAAAATAACAAGCAATAATAAATAAATTTTATGATAACCTAAAGATGTTTAGTACAAAATGTCTAGTACAACCACAAAAATATAAGCAAAAAATAATTTAGTACAACTGAAGGTCCAACTACTCAATAAAAGGAATGATAGAATTTGATTCAGAGGTTGATTTTTAGCCTTCAATATCATCATCATTGAATATCATTACTTCCAACTCTGGTTCATCTAGAGAAATATTTGCAACCTCCAATAATTTCATATCATCAAGGCACTCGAACCTATCTCCAGCAACATCCCACATCTTATTATCACATGTCATATAAAGTGGGGTTTTCCTTGATAGAAGACGAATATTTATATTCATCCTAAATCATAATGGATATTCTCTATTTGAACTACTATCCTTCAACATAAAAATTATAATTGATATGAAGTGAAATCAAAATATCTCAATAATAATACAACATGAATACAACAATATACCAGTCTGTTGGTGGTCCAAGGGGGCGCTGCCCCCTGGCGAAAGAGTAATTTTGAAGTTCTGCTTGTTTTTAAAGTTCGTATGTTATTTGTATGAAAAGATATCGAGCGGTACAGAGCATGTACTGAGCGGTACCGAACATGTATTGAGCGGTACCGTGCATGTACCTAGCGGTACCGAGCTTGTATTTAGCGGTACCAAGCATGTACTGAGCGATACTGAGCATGTACATTAGCTTTTTTTGGTAAGTTTCAAAAAACAACAATTAATATTTCGGGCTTCGATGTTATTTATCAATCACCAGAAGAGGAGATGAAAATACATTCACTACCAAAAAGAAATTAAAATGAGAATATTCGATGATTGGGTATTAAGTGTGGACGTTGATTTGGTGTTGTGGATAGGAAATAAGAAATTTAGTTTAAATCCCACAAAATACAAGAAATTATATTTAAAAAAAATCATAAAATATTTAAGATACGCGTATCCGACATGCGTGTCCAATTTGCATTTAATATTTTTTAATCGGACACATTTTCGGCGTGTCCGACACGTGTTGGAGGAGTGTCGGACGAGTGTTGTGTCGGACACGATGTGGGACACTGCATGCCTCTTTGAGGAGAAGTGTCGGTGCATCATAGGTTGGAGAAGAGATTGACGAAGAGAGGAGAGAGTAGATCGACGGTTGGATGTGCAAAGGAATCGAGAGGATGCAGGGCCTAGTGCGGTGTTCTAGGGGAGATTGAGTGCAAGGTTGTGTGAATAGCTAGAGCGAGAGTGAGATTTTTTGTGATTTTTTTTAATTTCACTAGATGACGGAACTAGTGAGGAACCTTCATATGCGGCGAGATGATTGGACACGCCGAGATTTACGGTTTTTTTTTTGGACATTTATGTCAATTAAGTCAAACTGACATACACATCACATATACAAGACAAACCCAAGATCTCTTGGTTGGTCCCAACCAACAGAACAAGGTGAGCTGCGTCACGGTTATATGGATACGTGGATTTCTTTATTTGCGGCATTTAGAATTTTGTTTTCTCATTGAATTTTGATTTGATTATTTTTAATAAAATAATAATAAATTAAATTGTTACAAAAGTTCCTTTTTGGTAGTTTCACACAAGTTCTCATCGATTGTACATCATGCAATTCGTGTCATCACATCATACAAACAAATTTTATGTTTCTTCTTTGTGTGATGACCAAAATAATACGGGTATCCATTTCAGGTATTTTGATGTTCAAAATGTGTGGAGCAAACTATTTTGTGGGCGAATAATGTTCGACTTTTGCGTAATGTCACATCAATAATTTTCATTGTGACTGACCAAAGTGCATGCAAATGGTCCTTTTTTAGTACATTTAACTTATGGACGCGTCGGCCCAATCCATTTTGTGAACTGGCAATGTTTAAGTTGTTTTAGTTATGTTTGAGACGCTATATCTCATCAGTCAGTCAATGTTCTCACCCCGATTGCTCCAATCGGTCATCAAGCATATATGAGGGCCAACATTGATTGGATTGATCAGGGAAATAATCCCCTGGTGTTTTTGTTTTAATCAGTTGATTTCAACAGGATGATATCCTTCAATTTAACTCTCCTATTGTAGCCTCTAATGCCATTCTTGATTGTTGTGATGTGGAGGATGGTGTGATGCTTGTTCTAATTAATGCTTTAGATTGGGTTGACCAAAGCTTGTAGATCTTGTAGATAAAGTATTTATGTGTCTACTTTCCCCCTTCTCCTTTATCTCGCCTTAATTTCATTGCATATATTTTTATAAAATCTTGGTCTCTTGCATTTTACTTTACATGTTATGATGTATTTTTTTTTTAACTGCCATTTCAGGTAAGTTTTGCATTGGCTAATACAATATTGTTATAAAAAACCCTCATTTTTAACAATAACATCTTTAGAATGAAGTAAATTCTTAATATCTTTTAAGTTGATTATATATCATCATATAACAAGATGTCATGAAAAGGTATATTAAGGAGGAAAATAGCATAACAAAATTTGATGAATATCACATCAATATTCATTAAATGCTTCACGATGAAATTAAATTGATAGGAAATACTTGATTCACAAGCAAACCTAACCAAAATAAAGTAACACAACATGAAAACTGCTGTGGACAGCAGTAAAACAGCCAAAACAGTGGAGAATTTAGAGGAAAAATGTAGGAAAAACTCAAAACACACTTGGATTCCACTAGACGATGAATAAAATAGCAAGATACAAGAGATCCTCAATTAGAGAGGAGGATTGTCTCTCCCAAATCTCTAGACAAGATTGTTTAGAGCCCAAGCCTCCAAGAAACCATAATTCCAATCAATCAAAACATAATCTCTCCCTAATCCCCTAATGTACTTTAATACAAAAGCTTTCCTAATCTAATTTCCCTCCCAAAGCATTAGCCTCCTCTCTCTCTTAATTTGAAAATCAAATAATGGGTGGGACCCATTCATTCATGCGGCCCAGAGAAGGAAGAGACGGACTGTGTCCGCCTCTTATACACCCGCTAGACCAGCCAGCGGGTTTTCTGAGCTGGTTCGGACAGAACCGGCATAACAATACCGCCCTCCCAAAGAATCATCTTGTCATCAAGGTGAAAATCCGGAAACTGCTATTTCGCCCTCTCATATGGCTCCCATGTTATCTCGTAGTCAGGAAGGTTCTTCCACTGGATCAACACTTCCTTAGTTCCATCTTCTTTCTCGCGAACCCCCATCAGTTCTAAGGGTTCCAGAACCACCTCTAGATCCTCGGTAAGTGTCACCGGTAGCTCGGGGTTGGCTGTGTAGTCCCCAATGGCCCTTCTCAACTATGAGACATGAAAAATCGGGTGGATGGTCGCCACTGATGGTAACTTTAGTCGATATGCTACTTCCCCAAATTTCTCCAATACTTCATAAGGCCCAAAATACCTTGGAGCAAGCTTTTCATTTCTCCTGTTGGCGACTGTCTTCTGTCTATAAGGTCGGAGCTTCAAAAATACCGTCTCCCCCACTTCAAACTGGATGTCCTTCCTATGCCCATCCGCTTGTTTCTTCATAATTTTCTGAGCTCTCAGTAAATGCCTCTTCAACTCCACTAGCACTCGATCCCTCTCCTCGAAGTACTCCTCCACTGACGAAACTAGAGTACTGCTACTCCCAAAGTGCACCAACTAGAGTACTGCTACTCCCAAAGTGCACCAAGTGAGGGAGGTCCCTTCCATACAACACCTTGAATGGAGTCATCTGTACAGCTGAGTGAAAAGAGGTGTTGTACCAATACTCTGCCCAAGGTAGCCACTTGGCCCAAAGCTTGGGTGTCTCCGACACAAAACATCTCAAATAGGTCTCCACGCTCCTATTGACCACCTCCGTTTAGCCATCTGTTTGTGGGTGGTAAGCGGAGCTCCTCTTCAAAATTGTCCCCTATAATCTGAACAATTCTCTCCAAAAACGACCGAGGAAAACCTTATCTCTGTCTGACACGACCACTTCTGGTACGCCATGCAATCTGACCACCTCTCTAATGAAAGTTTAAGCCACTATCACCGCGGTGTAAGGATATCGAAGAGGAATGAAATGAGCATATTTGCTCAATCTATCCACTACCACCAATATTACAGTGAATCCCTCAGAATGGGGCAACCCATAAATAAAGTCCATATATACCTCCTCCCAGACTCGACCTGGTAAAGCCAAGGGCTACAATAACCCCCCGGGTGACATAGCTAGGTACTTATTCCTTTGGCAGACTTCGCATCTGGATACCATCTCTTCCACATCCTTGTGCATCCCTCTCCAGTACAGTTCTGCTGCCAGTCTCATGTAGGTCTTTAACACTCTTGAATGTCCTCCCACTGCAGTCCCATGGAACACTTGAAGCAACTGTGGAATGTGACTTGATGTTCTAGGTAACACAAATCTCCCCTGGTACAACAATCTCTCCCCCTCCAATGAGTATCCTGGATGGTTGCCCTCTCCCTTTAGTAAGTCAGTCCTGATCCTGCCTAGTTCTTCATCCCTAACACTCTCCTCCCTGATGGCCTCCCAATCTAGCATCATTGGGACTGATACAGCCACTGTCTGCAACTCCCCCATGCATCGAGACAGGGTATCTGCCGCTTTGTTCTCCACCCTCGGCCTGTACTAAATCTCAAAATCATACCCCCAGCAGTTTAGATAGCCACCTTTGATGCTCTTCTGTTACCATTCGTTGTTCCAACAAGTATTTCAAGCTCCGTTGGTCGGTCCTAACTATGAAATGTCTTCTGAGTAAGTAGGGGCGCCACTTTTGGATGGCCAACACAATTGCCATCAATTCCCTCTCATAGACAGATTTCAGTCGGACTCTTGCCATCAGCACCTGACTGAAGTAAGCAATGGGCCTATGATTCTGCATCAACACTGCTCCCAAACCATACCCCGATGCATCTGTTTCTACTACGAAGACCTGAGTTAAATCCGGTAAAGATAAGACCGGTACTGTGGTCATGGCTTTCTTTAACTTCTCAAATGCTGCCGTGGCGGCTTCCCCCATAAAAACTCGTCTTTCTTCAACTGCTCAGTGAGTGGCCATGTTATAGTACTGTATCCCTTCAGAAACCTTCGGTAGTATCCTGTCAGCCCTAGGAATCCCCTCAATTCTTTATATTTTTAGGCAGTGGCCACGTTAACATGGCTTTAATCTTAGACTGATCTGCGGCTACCCCCTCTTTAGATACCACGTGCCTCAAGTACTCCACACTGGCTTGTGCGAAGCAGCACTTCTTCAGGTTAGCCCTCAACTAGTGCTCCTGGAGAATCTCTAACACCTGCTTCAAATGCCCCCAATGCTCCTCCTCTATCCTTCTATACACTAGGATGTCATCAAAGAACACCAAAACAAATCGCCTGAGGTACGGTTTGAAGACCGTATTCATGAGTGCATGGAACGTGATTGGGGCATTGGTGAGGCCAAAGGGCATAACTAGGCACTCATAGTGTCCCTCATGAGTTCTAAAGGCGGTCTTGGGTACATCCTCCTTCATTCGAATATAATGATATCTTGATTTCAAGTCAATCTTATTTGCTCTATGCCGGCACCAATTTCAGCCGTTGAAATTTGTTAAAAACAGCCCACAATTGGTCCCAAGACTTGCTCTGATACCAATTTGATAGGAAATACTTGTATACACAAGCAAAACTAATCAAAATAAAGTACCACAACAAGAAAACTGCTGTCCACAGCAGTAAAACAGCCAAAAAAGTGGAGAATTTAGAGGAAAACTGTAGGAAAAACTCAAAACACACTTAGATTCCACTAGACGAATAAAATAGCAAGATACAGGAGATCCTCAATTAGAGAGGAGGATCGTCTCTCCCAATCACTAGACAAGACTGTCTAGAGTCCAAGCCTCCAAGAAACCCTAATTTCAATCAATCAAAACATAACCTCTCCCTAACTCATGCACTTTAATACAAAAGCTTTCCTAATCTAATTTCCCTCCCAAAGCATTAGCCTCCTCTCTCTCTTAATTTGAAAATCAAATAATGGGTGGGACCCATTCATTCATGCAGCCTAGAGAAGGAAGAGGCGGACTGTGTCCGCCTCATATACACCCGCTGGACCGACCAGCGGGTTTTCTGAGCCAGTTCGGACAGAACCAGCGTAACATAAATTCATTAAGATATTATTTAATCCATATACCTTCTTACATGTAAATTAAGCAGTCTTATGAAAAAAATTACCTGAGAGATTTTTTTAAAGTACAGAGAAACCAACTTGACAATATCATCTTTAAAAAGAAGTCAATTCTTAGCATCTTCTCAGTTCGTTTCATCCCATCATACAACTAGATTACATGAAAATCTTATAAAAATTTAATAAAGAGTATGATAATAACAAAGCTTGATCTTCATCATCAACTACTAGATCAATGTTCCTCAAATCCCTCAAAATGGAATCAAACTACTTAATATGTGATTTAACTTTCTTGCATGTTTTGATTAAGTTTATTGGAGAAATTACTCCATGTATACTTGTAGGAATCGTAGAATGTTCTTGATTTAAATCTAAATTAAACTTAATTTTATCTCAGTAAATTTTCAAACCTGATATTTTCCACAAAAAATATGACAAATTGATATTATCCTAACAATATCAAATTTTACAAGTGTGTATATCCTAAAAATTTATTGACTCAATTCTAACAAATTATAAGGATAAGGATGATTACACAAGTAACTAGCATTTATTTTGTTTAGCTTCATTTTCAAATGACCTGCAACTTAATCTTGTCAAGCACGAATATGATCGAATAAGAAAAAGGTCGGAGTATTAATTACAAAATTTTGATATAAAATAAAAATAGCCGCAAATTCTTTAAATCTCTATGGCAACATGCATGGAGAATTCTATATCATGCAAAATTATAAAAAATGAGCACAATGCCACGTATAAATGCTAAAGATAATGTATCCATTTGAACAAAAAGCTTTGTCTAACGGAAAAAGCTCTGGCAATTAAATTAAAAATACCTTTACTGTGTTGGTAGCAAAGAGATCTCAATTTCTTGAAGTGACCTTCCCTTAGTTTCCACCACATTCCTCCTAACAAAAGCAGCTGCTATCAAGCAGAAGGACGCAAAAATGGTGTACAAAACCTTGGCTCCAAGTAATTCCAACAACCGCAAAAATAACAAGCCGACAAAGAAATTGACCACCTGAAATTACCATCACAATGAACAATATACTCATCTTTCAAACTAAAAAAAAGGATAGAACATTTCAATTTCTATATGAACCCCTACTTTCAGAATATTCACTGTTCATCTGTAATTCAGCCCAGCCAGAAGCTATTTAAGCCACCATTATAAATCTAGAGGTGACAGAAACAAGATTACAACTGCAATATCCTTGCTAATTTCCGGAAGTGAAAGCTAAGGATGTATTTAACTTACCCAGTGCACAGACATGCATACAGCCATAGCCTTCTCTCTGATTTTGTTAGGAAATATCTCAGGCAAAAGTAGACCGGGGACTGGACCGGCTCCTAGTGCAAATGTAAAGACAAATCTGCAAGGAATAATTAATAACTAGATAGCTCTTCCAACAAAAATCTTAGCACCTATAGTACTGCTAGAAAATAAAGAGCGTCTGTAAAATAGATTCATTGATGCTGATGTTTCTTTCATATTTCAATGACATCCTAAAGGCTAGGTTTGTTTCCAGAACCATCTGTCAAAGCAAAACTAAATGTTTGGAAGATTGTAATATAAAATTTGCTCCAAATTTTGATGAGATCGCAACTAAATGAAGTTGATTGTTGAAGATAGAAGGCAATAGAGAATCAAAAAATAAAGGCTAATATCATATGGTAAACTCAAGATAGAATTTCGGAAAAATTAGGAGGCGTTCTCTTTACCAAGTTTACAAAAATTATCGTAAGTTCAGATTGCTTTTTTCTTTCCGCTTACATTCAAATTTTGCAAACTTAATGCAATTTTTTGGCAGTTGGCTTTTTTATTTTTTATGTCCAACTCATTCAATGCCCAATCTGGAAGTGTTTCTGCAAGGCCCTTGTGGTGTGTGAGGTGTCAAGTTACAATCTGTGTCCTGATTTTGATAAAAATTTCAGCAATGCTCCCACGCCAAAACCCGTGAAGGGATAGCAAGAAGCTAGCCAGGCCAATCAACTACACCAAAAAGGTGTTTATGGGCGATGAACAAAACACCATGACTAAATGCACCTCCAACATCAAGGCTTGTATTAGCAACGTGTGAAGCACCTAGGCGTAAGCTCCTCAGCACAACACACCAAGAAAGGAATGTGGGTAGCACTGCAAGACTTAGCTCTGAGGGAAGGTATAGTGCATGCTCTCATGAGCCAACAATCGGGAAAGATATGCATGGATAGATTCAAGCAATGCTTTGTCGAAAGCTTAGGGACCTTCTATATTATTTTAATCATGACATCCCCTCAATTGTTATTCATGGACTTGAAGGGAGGGGTGAAAGCTTCATCATATAATGTTGGACTAATGAGGAGGTGCTCTACTGCAGGTATAGGAAGACGTTCCATGAATAGGCAAAAAATAAAATAGGCATGCATAACATCTATAAAAACATTTTAATCGACACTTACATTTGCTGTCCAGAAAATTCTGCATGCATTTAGTAAGCAATACGTGTTGGTTTTGCATTATATTTGCTGCCCTCTTAGTATTAACTCGTCTAGTTGTCTAGGAATCACTTTGCACTTTGTTTAGTGGCTGTCCACATTGTTTCCTGCAACATATAGTGTGCTGTAGGTTCACCGTTTAGGTGCCTAAGTGCTGTCATTCACTTCCCCACTTCAGCATTTGCATTTAGGACCATCTATGGAGATCACACAATCATAATTTCATTGCACAATAAAACACTTCATTGGAGACAGGAGCATTTAGCTGTGCATTGATTTGTCAATCCATAAATACTCCCATGTGTGTTTATGTGAACCACCTTACAAGATTGTAGATTAAGTCAACCGAACTAAGCCAAGGTACTCTGATATCAAAATTATGGAACTTCTCTAGAGGTGAACAATATCCCCACTGAAGTATGCCAATAGAAGATTCCTAGGAAAGAGTACTTGATGACAACCAGATGTAATCATCAATTGTTAGCAACTTGGACCTGGTCATTCACGCTGCATTCTTCCATGTTTAATTTTTTTCTAAATCATAAGTTAATATTGTATATGTTAGATTCTCAAAATAGCGGAATGTATGCTGAAGACACAATCTTAAAGGTAAAGCCACATAACCATCTAAATCTGTCAATCTCATATAAAAGTATCAAGTCAACAATTTAGATCATGAATAGAGGAGTTAAATATGTCGTATGGTACTCACAGTAACATGCCACCAACAGATAGATACAGCGTACCAGAACCTAGAATTTGATAGGTTGCTGCAGAAGCCTGTAGGGCCATTGCGACTGCCTGAACCATTAGAGTTGTTGATATTATTCATAGAGACAACCAACAAAATATTAATGAAAATTCCTTAATGTGAGTAGATTACCATGCCAACAAAGCTCCCAAAAAGTAGCACCTTTCTTCCCAGCTTATCCATCAAAAGCATTGCAATTATTGAACCTTCAAACAAGATGCAGAGAGAAGTATGTCACAACTTTTTCAAAATCAATGACCACAAAAACATAAATTTTCAGTTTACCTGACAAATTTACCAGCCCTATGCATATGTTGGCGATGTTTGAAGGCACCTTGGCCCTTTTAAAGACAACAGAAGAGAAATAGAATACAGCATTTATTCCAGATAATTGTTGTAAAGCAAATAGTGTTGATCCAATAAAAACAACTGTAGCAAAGGACAAAGTCACTTGCAATGAACTGAAATTCTAAGAAGACAAAATTTAACAAGATGCACATAGTGCCAAAATGAAAGATTTATGCATGATTTGTATACCCCTGAAATGTCGGCCATAAAGTAACTCTGAAAACTTCACGCCATCCGCATCATCCCCTCTATCTGAACGTATCAACTCAGATATTGCTGATTTCACATGGGAAACTCCAAGAAGCCTTTCAAATTCAACTTCCGCCTCACCAATTCTAGCATGCTGCATCAGACAAGAACATAAATTTGGCAAATTATCTTTTTAAGATTTACGATTTCAAGAAAACCATGAATTTGTTTATGTTAACTAGCAAAAACCTCCTTTCTCCAGATAGAACCAAAAACTCACCACGAACCAAATAAAACCAAATTACATACAGATAAGGAGAAAAGTCTAGTTGATGCAACAGGGCCATCAAGCTTGAACTGAATGAGAGATCAGCAGAAATAACTTGATCTAACGTCAACTACGAAACTGAGACTTTTGTCGTTTTGTCTTTAGGTTTGCTAAAGGAGAGATAACCAATATACAAACAACAAATCATAAAATGTAAAAATTAATAGGGGGTATAAAGAAGGGCTCTTCCCCTACCCTAAATACAACCAAATCTTACCATAACAAAATCCCCAAATCCCTAATTACAAACCAACAATTCATATTCCTAATTTTGCATAAATGCAAGAACTACAAAAAGAGTACACATAAAGAGATCTTAGCTTATAAACCATGTAATCGACCTCTTGAAAGTACAAATAGCAAGTAGGGATAAAAAGGATAGCCAACTTGTCGTGATCAATATGATATTTAGCTTCAATCTGTCAACCTCCCTAGATAGAAGGGAAAAAAAGATTCATTTGATGAAATAAGTAGATTTATTGGTGCATAAAATACGAAGAGAGAGTTGGTTTAAACTTTAACCCAAGCCAAAACAAAGACCCTATTACTTTTACCTCCTATGCAACGTCATATTCTAGTAACTAGAAGATGATCTCCCTTTACCAACAACCTAGAAAAAAACAAGGCCCACCAAAAGGATCATTAACTACTCTCATTTTAATCACACAATACAATTTCAGTACTGACCACCCCACTGCAATCCCTCTACAATAACCTCCATCACAAATGACAAGCAGTTAAATAAGACTATTGCTCCTCACAGGCCTCTCTGCTACCGCTGTTATTCTATGGATGAGAACATATATAGCACCCTTCACCTGGTAGAAACCTAGAACTAAAAAAAAAACTACAACATGAAATGATAGCATAAAAATACTTAGCAATTGAGCAAGTTATATAACATGGTTCAAAATTGGGAAATGGTAAAATGATAGCAAATGAGATTACAACATACATTATATGATTGGTGATTTCAGCGCCCATCAAGAGCCTTATTATAACAATTGAACAGTAATCCCAATGCGCTTGGATTTCATCAATCAGTAAATTATGATAAGCTTTTGGAGTCATATGTCCAATTATCATGATTGGCAATGTTTCCATAAATGAATAGACCTCAACAACAACTCTTTTTGTAAGCCACCCGTAACTTCATCAAGTCACTTTGTCAATGTTCATCATAGACCCAAGGCAACAATTCCAATAATAGTAAAGCAAAGGTGTGTCATCATGTTTCATGTTGTGCTGAAGACCAATTGCCATTTCCATTTCAACAACATCCATCATCATCAATGTGCTCCCCTTCAAGGATGTTTGGACCCAACAAGCTTTATTGTGAATGGAGCATGACTCCCTTATCGGTCTTTGTTGAAGGAGGATGAAGGGCGGTTTAAAATGGCCAACTAAGACGAAACAATTCACAGGAAGTTCCTTGAGTTAAAGAAGGGTTGATGAGAGTTTTTAGAAAAGAATTCTATAAATGCAAGCTAGCCTTGCTAAGAAGACCTCAAGAATGTTGGAAAAAACAAATAAATAAATTGTAATAATAATAATAATAATAAAGTAAATAAAATAAAATTTGTATGCATGCACTTCGACCGTGGGATAAAGGCTTGCTTTGTTATTTTTATTGTTGTTGTTGTATGCACTCCGATGAATCATGAATTTTAAAATAATAGATCATTTGGTGAAACACAAATATGAACATCACAAGAAAGGTAAAAACAGAGCATTTTATATCTCATGTTTAAGGGTAATTTCAGTGAATAATCATCTGCATCCTTTTGTCATCACCATCAACATCGATGCACAAAACTCTACTGAGTACTGAAATTGTAATAACCGGTTCGGCCCCGGCCGGTTCAGTTGAACCGGCCGAACCTATACTAATAGGCGGACGGATCCATTTGCGAAACAGAAACAATTTCGCGAACAGAGAAGGGAGGACGGTCGGGCTTCACGCGAGAACGAGGTAAGTTTCTTCTTTCTCCAATTTTAGCAAATGATTGCCTTCTAGGATAAGAAATAACGATTCCTTTTCATTCTTATCGTTATCAGAGTGTTATTTTGGGAGAAATTTGAAGAACAAGATAAACGGACGAGAAGGATTAAGAGAAGAAGATTTGTTGAATTTCTTTCGGATTTTTATATAAATTTCTTCTTCCACTTCTTTTAAAGTGAACAATATATTTCTTGAAAGATAAGGAAGGGATTGAAGCGAAGAAAAAGAAAATTTCGAGAAGAAGGATTTTGAGAGTTTGAGAAGTCTCCATTCAAAATTGGTTTTAGAAAGTGAAAGATCAAGTCATAAATGTTGATCCCGCAAGGATTCAACAAGAAGGGAAATTGATTCAAGAGTAGATCGAGCATCGAAGACCTGAAAAGTTTAAAGTGGATAAATTATATTATTTACGTTTTATTGATGATTTCAATTTTCTAAATAATTGATTAAAAATCTTATATTATTAAATGTTGAAGGCAAACCTTTATGATTTTACAGTCTTAAGAAAGGATTTATATGTTATAAAGATTTAAAAGCTTATGGAAAAAGAAAAGAAATATTTATGAAAATACATGTTAATTATGTTATATGAAATGGTAGTAATGAGGATGAAAATGAGAAAAGAAAAGAAAAAGAGAATAAAGAAAAGGGTATTGAAAATGTCAGGAGTCACCCCCTTATGGTTTTGGCTGGGGACGCCGTACTCATGCACGAAAAAGGAAAAGAAAATTTCTATGAAAATGGGAAAAGGAAATCATATGGAAAAGGTTGTATCTTTGGGTATTTTGAGACGGTGCTCTTGTGCAAATCATATGGGAAAAGGAAATACAAATGAAATATTAAAGATAACAATTACTTCAAATTGATATAAATGAAAAATATCAAGAGAAGTATAAGTTAAGGAAATGAAAGAAGTACGGTTAAGAAAGGATAGAAAATATCTTAATTAATTAATTTTAATGATTAATTTACATAATTTCCCACTGAGTTTACTTAGTAAACTCAAACCACGAGTTTAAATGTTTCAGGTAATTCCTAAGAAAAGAAATGGCAGAAAGAGAAGAACATGTTTATAGAAGACGAGGAGCAAATGACAACAGGTAAAATATATTTTGTGTTTTTAGTGGCTCTTTATCATGAATGATGTAGTATTATGTTTAATGAATTTTATCGTCCAACTTTTCGTACCCGCCTTGTTAGATCGAGAATCCGGGCCGAGTCGTGACAGAAATATTGGTTATCCGCCTTAAATATCACCAATACTATGAGTATTATTTATGATAACCTAGTCAAAAATGCTCTATTGATGATTCTTAGTCAATAGCAAATGTGCAAATTATAACACCATCGAAGGCCCTTTTCATCAACATGGCTATGCCACAATATCCCCCTACTGACAATGATCATGCCAATAATGATTTTGTATACAATAATAACTCCATTAAGTCTCCATCAATAATTCACTATGTCGATGACCCACTTTGCCAACAATAAATATGCTAATGTTGACTCCACCGATGGTCCACTTTGTCGATGGGCTATGCCTGCCAATGATAGTTAATTTATATTTACTCTGTTAACAAAAATAAGATTAATGATCTTCTCGAAAACTGCTCAATTGAAGATATCTTCATCTACGAATATGCCACCAACTTCATTGATTACCACTCCATAAGTGATGATTGTGCCAATGATGACTTCATCAATGATAGCTCTATTGATTGTCTACCACATCAATGACAATTATGCCAAATGGATAAGTTAACGCTCTGAACCATTTAGTCAACCTAGCCTATTAACCCTCTGTTAATGAATAAATCAAAGTTAAACTAGGAAGCATATATTCAACAGATAGCTCCACCATAATTTGCTTAAGAAGACTAAAAAAAGGCAACGCAAGGTTGCTAACAGCAGGAGAGTCAAAGATGAATACTGGATCTCAGAGGAATGTTGGAAGACCAAGAACAGTGGAATCAGCTGCATCAACTCCAGGATCAAGTCAAAGCCGACAGAATACTCTGCCTAGAGTATATGCATTGACTCAGAAGGATGCTAAGGATTCACCTGAAGTGATTACAGGTGATAAAAATTAGAAGTGAATGAATATGTATTATGAAAGTATTATTAAAAGAATGATGTATGTTTATGTTTTTCTTATGAAATTTTATAGGTATAATTATGATGCAAGGAAAGCCTGTACGGATTCTATTTGATACAGGAGCTTCACACTCTTTCATTTCAGAAGAATTTGTTAAAACAGTTGGATTAAATGTTTGTGAAACCAATGTAATTTTGAAAGTTTTAATGCCAGATGGATCATTTATAAATGTGAAAGGTGTATGTAAAGTGACTTTCAAATTAAATGAAAGAGAGTTTGAAGCTTCAATGAATGTTTTACCATTGCAAGAGTTTGATATGATATTGGGAATGGATTGGTTATCAAAGCATTTTGTGGTTATTGACTGCAACAAGAAAATTGTGATGTTTAAATTTCCAGAAGGAGAATTGAAGTTTTATGGGGAGAGAGGAATTTCTTCAATGATAATCACCTATATGAAAGCATACAAATTTGTATCCAAGGGATGTCAGTGTTTTCTTGCTCAAGTAAAGGATACAAATAAGGAAGTTAAAGAGTTGAAAGATATACCTGTAATCAGAGAGTATCCAGAAGTATTTTTGGATGAATTGCCATGATTACCACCAGAAAGGGAGATAGATTTCACTATTGAATTGATACCAGGTTCAGAACCAGTGGCAAGAGCACCTTACAGAATGGCAGTCAAAGAGTTACAGGAGCTGAAAGGTCAGTTACAGGAATTGCTCG